TGTGTCGAAACAAGGGTTAAGCATCAAAAAGAAGGTGCATAGATGACCGGTCGGTCTGTCAATAAATCACTCGCACTATGTCAACATGAGTCAGCCCATATTACGATAAAGTGGAGCGAGTTGCTGACATAGGCAACATATAGCTTACTCAGTTATGTGTACCTAGGATGCCAGAGGGTGATCTATACCCTTCCAACCTAGAGCATTTTTGATTAGGACTTGCAAGGATGCACGCAGTTTCGGCGACCGTTAATTTTTATAAACATTCAAGACAATCGCTTGAACTCGCAAGTTGCCTTGTATTAGCACCATGATGGACCTATTACTTTGGATCGCTACCCTGCGATCAGATTACACAGTATTCAGTCAAAAATAGCCCATTTTAAGCAGAATCGTCATATCATTTCCCACGCTATTGGCCAAAAAATTAAATGCTTTCCCTTCAGACTACTATAGGGCGTAATTACCGCTAATCACTTGAAAGCCCTGCAACAAAAGCGGACACTTTTATGTCGTCGGCATTAGCGCGAAAGATATGAAACCATCATAGGGGCTGCTGATGGGCAATTAAAATAGCGTGGGCAGGGCATAAAGGCAAGTAAGGGAACTAGCACAGTAAATAATCAAATATATTTTCTAACAAGTGAGGGAATAATGCACAGTTGAGCCCAGGATTTTCAACTGATGCGAGGAATTATCAAGCCACGCAGTGTTTAGCTGGCGATAATTACGGATATTTCTAAACCTCTGGGTTCTACACTAGTAGCAGTCTGTCTCAATACGCTCCTCCTTGAGTAGAAAGCGTCAGTTGACATCTACCAAAATCGTGTCGCAGTTTCTGTGGCGAAGCATTCATTTTAACCAAATGCGTCTGGTTTCCAATTGGTAAAAACATGTTTGCGCACTACATGACGCTATGATGTCTCACTATCTCTAGCCCACAGACAAAATGCTATTTATGATTCTAGCGTGGATCCCATACTACTTTTCAGGTTTATCATGGCATGCTGTCTTTAAAAGAGTGCTTCTGGTCTACTTTCACTTATACAACACTCCGCTTGAATTTCACTTTCGGTCTCTCATTCAATATACGCATCAAATCCTCAAGCCCCCGATAATCTGCATAAAACGAAAAAATGCCTTAAAGGACTCAAACTAGCCTTTGTTTCTTACGAAACTGGGACTTCTTCTGCCATAAGCAAAACAAAAATGAGGGTTTAAAGTCAAGAAAACTCGCAGAAAAGGATTCAGAGGCCATTTTGATTGGCAGCAGCGACGAAGATCCAGAACCTACCTCGCGAGAGCAAACATGCTGACCGATTTATTCCCAGTCACATTGCAGGGCGACCAGCGCACTCTGGATTGTTGACAACTGAAACGAAATTTTATTCCTCAGAGGCCCCTTTCAAGGGGACGCGGCGAGTAATCTCCTGAGTTACCACATTAAAAAGGCTGTTTCGTCAACCTTCTCAGCACTAAGAGTTTGGGCACTATTTTTAATAAGCCCAAGTCTCTAAGGAGAAAAATAGAACAGTTTTCCAGCTCAGACCACCACCGAATGGCCTTTTCTCATTCGCATGCTCTAATGAAGGAGGTCAAATTGGTCACACGAGTCGGGTCTTACTCAACACGGTTTCTAAAGGGCGGAATTAGGAATGCAAGCTGCGTCATTCTCACACATATGGCTGATGCCGAGTGGCATGGGAACAAGGTCCCCTCGCATTGCCCAAAACCACTGGCACAGCGTTGACTATTCGCAACAGAAGTGCCCACAATCAGGTAGCGCGAACGCGTTTTGTGCATGCAGAAGAGCCTTGTGCAGGCCCTACGTTCCCATTGCCAAAGGTCACTTGGCATGCTAGCTACAAGCCATTCATCACGCCTTTCTCCCGTTCGACTGACCCAACTCTTCTCCTCTCATCCACACAACCTATCCTTTAGTTTTCTTATCCACACAGATGACCAGTGAGCGCTCCTCTATCATCGTACACTCCTAATCGTAATCGACAGGACAACGAGCCTGTAGTTCAGTGGTTAGAGGCGTTGGACTTCTAAATAACAGGTTGGGGGATCGAAATCAAGGTGTTACACACCGCGGGCTTGGGTGTGGCTGGCTGACGACGGCTAATAAGACAGAAATGGCCATTCCAGTCGCCCTTGTCTTTGTCGGTAATAGTATTATGCCTACAACGTGTGCCACTGTGCGGCTGCTGGTTGGGCTCGAGAGAGAGCCCTAAGACACAAAGGAACGAGTGGGTTCCGTGAAAATGATCAGGGAGCACTACTCTACCACTTGCCGCATTATTTGACTAGACCTATACTGACTGTTACTGAGTATCCTCACGCATTCCCTACGCATCACCTGTGTGGAAAGATCATTATTACTTAATTTCTCTCATCCCACGGACGTTTTGTTAGACCTGCTTTATGGTACTGGCCTGTTGAAAATTTGTCCGAATCAGAAGTCTACGTGCTTAACAGTTTTCAAAAAGTACGGCCTTGATTCTCCAAAATTCGCTAAGGGAAACAAAGAACAGAAATTGAAAAAAGCTATTGAAAATCAGTATGTTCTAAAAACCGCTGAAAATAGTTTTTGACGAAAAAAGCCTTACTGAGAGCAGCATTTCACGACGCCAGCCCAATTCCAAATGAATTCTAAGTCTTATATGAAAAATTGTTAAATATATACGGAAGGTTGAAGACTAATCAAATCATTTTAATATACTGTGTGACTAAATTTTGTTCAGATGCGATCTGTCACGACTACAGAGTGTACTACTTGTAAAATGATCCAGGATAGTAATGCTCGAACAATGCATTTGAGTGCAAGCTCTTCTACACAAGCCGAAGCATGCTTGCAAATAACAGAAACGGTTGATAGGAAGTGCCTTAGTGTACGCGCCAGTAAATCATTTAAAATGGCCATTTTCAGCCAAAAAAACTCTGAAACATAGAATTTAGGGGGCGAGATTCAAATAGAAGCATTCTGCAATTGGGTCTGGATCTATGAAAACTATTTTGGTTCCGAGAACTGCGCTACAAGAGAATGACCAACGGAGGCAGTGAAGGATCTAAACGGATATTTTTGTGGCCAGTTGTCCATACGATACCAGTTTAAAAGATCGGTGAGGTTTAGTTCTGCAGTCCCACTTGATTGATGCCACATGGTTGGCTCTATAAAACAGTTTTAGTTAAAATATCTAACTTGCCGCTCGCCGGATTAGGAAGGGAAGGAGAGCGTAATCAGAGCTCGAAGCACGCGCAGGTAGGCGAGGGAAGGTGGTGTGTATACACTCTCCCAGTGCCACAGCCACTTGCTAGATGTAGGGAGTACGGAGGGCGTAATCACAACTCGAAGGTCACTGTGGGAATCGCGCAGTAATTCGCAGTGCATGGCCGCTGTAGCGGAACCGACGAAATTCCACACTCTCAGAACAGTTCCCTTAGCAAGTATTTTTGGCCACTCGCTGAATAAGAATAATAAAGGAAGCGCAAAGAGGTTTGAAGCGGGCGAAGGGAAACGCGTGTTAACTGATACCTGAAGTAACCGAGGACGGCGTATAAGCACTCCTCTCCACGTGACACAGTCACACGCTGGATTAAAATGGTAAAGAAGATACAAATTGGTAAAGTCAACTTATTCGTGTCTAACAATTTTTTAGAAAGCTAGCAAAATGGTATCGCTCAAGTGGAGCAGCAAAACCAAACCTCACCAAAAATCTAGTTACACTGAGGACCTTTCGAGTCGATGATAATAATATGCGTATGATGAAAGGAATGAGGGGGAGGTGTATCAAGCTAGAGCGTTTTGTGTCATAGGGATTACACAAACAGAGCGTTTGCATATGAGAGTGATGGAGACAGAGTTACGATACACGTTGGGGGAGGGAGATGATTTTGATCCACTGAGATGCAGAGGTGAGGGGGCTGGTTGACCGGTGTGACTGTAGACGCTGGGATAGGAGTCATTGTTCCTTTAAGATGGACATAAGGTTGCAAAGCTACAAGTGCAGCCCCTCGATATCGTGGTTGAATTTGACTGTGTTGGGGTGCCAAGTCCTGAAAAATTATCCCGTTAGTTTAGTTTTGCTTCGGTATCATCCGAACGGAATCGATGGTAATCCTAGGGAGAGTGCACAAACAACAGGGAGAAAGGTTGTACAGATGATCACCCAGTATGTATGTGTTAATACAGTGGCTCAGGGGGGCGATCCGCGTAGTCAACACACACATAGGGGTGGTTCATGCATATGCGGCTGCAGTATTTATAGGATGCAGTAGCCATGCTACCGCATACCTATGAATATTCACGACTCCCCCTTCATCAGGGATCGTTGTCTCTGATGATGGATTCGAGCAGGAATCAGAAACGTCCGGCTAATAAAGCTCTTGCCCTGGCGATCGTGTCTTCTTTTTCTTCTTCTTCTTCTTCTTCTTCTTCAAGACTGCTTCCTGGGACTCGTCTCTTCGCTTCTATTGGCAATGTATTTGGGCGCGATGCGCTCCGACCAGCCCGACGATGGGAAACCTTCGCCCTTCGGGAGGCCTCTACGTATTCTCAGATCCGGTTTCTGCACAGGTGTCTCGACAATAATGTGTTACCGAAATGTGTTTCATAGAAGCCACCGGTTAAAACGTGTTTTGCGAGACGAGCAGTATTTCAGCACGGCAGAAGGATGATCCGAGTGCTCCTCCAAGATTGCCACACGAGACTTCGCAAGCACCGTCAAAGGATTGACCAAGAAAAGACCAGATGCTGTGAGTTCATGGACGAGATCGGTATAAATCTGCTCCTGCAGAGGATAGCTGAACAAGCCCGCGAACAGAGAATGATACGCAACGCAGCAATGGGGAGCAAATTCCGAAAGCTGCCCAATCCAACGCCACCCAGAAACGACAAACTGGTGCACAGCCTGTCGTCAAAGGAGCTGACGAAGGATCAGATGCAGGTTTGAAGGCACGAAGCTTCATTCAACTCGACTGACGCCAAACCTGTTAACATGATTGCAGCAGCGGAATCAATCCTTAATCAGACGGAGGCAACGGAGGAGACCAAGAGCCTAATCCGACACCAAGTGTCGTCTCTCCTAATGGCCCACAGGCAGCGGGAAGTGCTTTCCAAGGTCGAACGTGATGCGCTTAGAGAACTCAAGCTCGACAAAGACTTGGTAAACGTGCCAGCGGACAAGGGGCGTTCCACGGTTGCGCTGGACAGGACAGACTACCTTCAAAAAGCCAAAGGTTTACTGGAGAACCTACAGTTCTATGTCCCATGTGCAACGAACTCTTTAAAGTCGCTGACACGCGAAATTAATGCTACGTTGTTGGCCTTGGAGAACTCAGGTGCAATAACACCGACCGACAGACGCATGGCGAGACCCCAAGATACGGCTTTGGCCAAAGTCTATGGTTGCCCTAAGGTGCTCAGAGGCGGCGCTGCTCTTCGACTCCTCATGTCGCTCAAAGGTACTCCAACGTACGACTGGCTAAGTGGCTGTTCCGGCGTCTCAAGTCCCTGACCGCTGAGTCAGACACGAAGGTCTTTTCGTCAGCAGAATTCCTGGAGAAACTCAAAGGGGTAAGGCTCCATCCAAATCAGGTCATGGTATCTTTTGATGATACATCCATTTTTAATTCTATTCCCCAGGACATGGTGATCGAGACAATCGAGCTGCTTCTACAAAGCAAATACGATGAAACGGAGAATCGTCTTGGACGCGCCCAAGTCCTTCAGCTCCTGAAGTTCTGTCACAGGACGTACTTCACGTTCAACGGGACAATCTACGAACAGATGAACAGCACACCAATGGGTTCGCCGATTTCGGGATTCATCGCCGAGGCGATCCTGCAACGGTTAGAGTCGCTGGTCTTTCAACACCCCAAACCGAAGTTCTGGGCCTGGTATGTGGATGATACCTTCGTCGTCATCGAACGGGATCAGGTGTTGACATTCCAAGAACATCTTAACGCCGTCTTCCCGGACATTCAATTTACCATGGAGGAGGAAGAGAAAAACCAGCTGGCCTTCCTGGATGTCCTCGTATGCCGCAAGGATTGTGGTGGACTGGACACCAAAGTAACCAGGAAAGCGACAAATACGATGCAATTACCGAACTTCAACAACAACAACCACCCGATCAGCCACAAACGCAGTTGTGTAAGGACGCTCTATCGGCGTGTCGAAACGCACTGCAGTGAGCCGGAAGACAAGATTGCCGAACTGCAATAACTCCGACGGATCTTCAAAGCCAATGGCTAGCAGCGCAACTTCGTCGACCGATGCATACGTAAAATGTACGAAAGGCCGAAAAGCACGGACACTAAAGTTTGGCGAGGGCTTCCATATGTTAAGATCGTTTCGGAAGATGCCGGCTGCCTTCTCGCACCACTTGGGGTTGGAGTTGCACACAGGCCGCAGGCAACCATCAGGCGTCTGTTGATGAAACCGAAAGACCGGCTGCCACGACAGGAAACGTCTGGAGTCGTTTATCGGATCTGGGGCCGTTGCCGACAAAGCAACTACGTCGGAGAAACCGGAAGTCAACTCCATACGCGAATGGCCGAACACGCTGCAGCAGTGCGGAGAAATGACGCCAGCTCTCAAGCTGCGGCTCATTCGACGAGTTCTGACCACACACTCAAATTTGACGAGGCCAAAATTCTCGCAAGAGGTGACAACCGCGTGAGCCGGGAGCTGCTTTAGTCAGGGTTTACTGGCCCCCAGTCTATTAGCAAGTGCAGTGATCTTACCATTCAATACACCGTGCTGAGACTTCGTTTAGGCGGAGTAATTGGCCACGCGGGGAGCGCACAGGTAAGCACTCTTCCCAACACCCGGGTCAGCGCGTCAGATGGTCGAGCAATCATCACACCAACATCCAGCTCACGTGATGAAATTGCAGCAATTAACGACGCGAATGTCGGCCATCACGCCACGTGCAAAGATCCCTCATTAAGGGGAGGGAGCCGTGAATATTCATAGATATGCGGTAGCCTGGCTACTGCATCTTATAAATACTGCAGACGCATATGCATGAACCATCCTTATCTGCTTTTGTCTGTGATGATGGATTCGAGCAGGAATCCAGAACGTCAGGCTTATAAAGCTCTTATCCCGGCGATCGTGTCTTCTTCTTCTTCTTCTTCTTCTTCTTCTTCAAGACTGCTTCCTGGGACTCCTCTCTTCGCTTCTATACACATACGATTAAATAGCGTATGGAGTGTTAACAACTACTTTCGTTTGTTGCACTTTAAGATGTAAATCGCTATTCTAAATAAAGCTTAACTCAAGAGAGATGCCAAAACGATTTACTTTAGACAGTTGCCGCAGTGCGATACCACTTTTCTGAAGGTTAACAATTCCAGTAAAAATGCTGACACATAAATGTATTAATATGAAAAAGATAAGGCTCTTCGGAAAATAAAGTTAAACCCATAAAATTTCATGTCGCTGACGCCAACCCGTCGTCAGTCGAAATAAAGGACGGAGAAGGTGAAGTTCGTAGACTAGATTGGTGGGCGCGACAGGACCGACGGCGACGGACATGCAACTGGTGTGCGAAAAAAGTAGGAACATAATCACAGTAGGTTTTGTCGACGGAGGAGATGAGAACCGCCACGGCCCTCTGTGTTGGAGGGAATAGAAAGGTGGAACGGTTGTTTTTGGGACTGGATACGCCTGGATTAGCAGACAGGTGGTGCGTGAGAAGTAACAGTAAGTTTAGGCGTCAGGGAGGAGGGATGGGAGGAGCTTCTCGACTCCCTGTGTTGGAGGAGGCGGGGATGGTGGATCAATGGAAATAGTGGCGGCTTTTCGTTGATGCGGGCGGTTAAACACAACATATCTTAGGTATGCTTATGCTCAGCCCCGAGAAGTACTGCCATTTTGATGACAAGCACTATCAATAGGTTAGGGGCGCCCAATACGCTCGCCAATATCGGGGTTAGATGCGAGACTAGTCGTACAGCGAATAGAAAATGATGTTGAGTAGCGTCCACCCAGACATGCAGTTTACTCGCGAAGAAGCAACAAAAGACACCCTCTCGTTCGTTGACATTTGTTAACCTGAATACAAAGTCATCTTCAATGGTGAACTCACAACAAGCGTCAAGGTGTCGAATTTATCCTTAACTATGGAAGCAGCCATCCTACGGCCAACAAAAGAAGCTGAGTCCGGTCTCTCTTCCATCGGGCCCTTCGTCCCTGCAGCTTTGGTGACTTACCTAGCAAAGGACTGACTTACCCTAGAAATAACCACAAATCCTCGATTCTGACGGAGTTAAAATGCCGGAGAATTCTATTTCCTGCCCTATTTTCAAGAAATTTTCGAAAGAAACTCCCGACAGTTCAATTACTTTGGAATCTCCATCGCTCATAAACCCACGCCCTCCCTAAAAGCGACATTATGCCAATTGAAGGACCTTATCATACGAGCAACTATCCAGTCCCATTTACCAGCTGCCCTTGTGTTCATATTGGCCATACACATCGACCTTTTGGGACTCGTTCATACATTAGCCATCCGTTGACGTAACCCTCTGTCCCTCGTGTTTCGCACACGCACCTGAGCGTGACCACCGCTTGGGACGACACGGAAGTGACGGCAGTGGCTGACACTAAACAGGCGCGATAATTCCTCGAAGTTTGGCATTCTACCACGACCAGCGTTAACCGCCATGCCGGCCTAGACGTCCACTGAATTGTGTTCATGCCCAAACAACGCCCCCATGTAGAATGTCACTGTCTCGCCATCCCCCCCCGACACCGCGAGCCACAACCAGAATTCTCGAATCTCCAACACCGGCGCGCTGACCCCTGACTTCGTCGAGCAAAAACGACCAGCCGCCCTCATTCCCACTGAACTAACATCGACGTTTGAACACTGAATATCACCGACAGCATCTGCACTGACCCTTACTGTTATTCCTGTTTACTTGCCCTCCTTTGGCTATATTATTCCTCATCTGCTCCGGTATTCGTTGGTATGGCAGTACCAGCAGTGCACCTTCGTCCCATCTGGGTTGCGGTACAACCACCCGCCTGTCTGGTATCTATTGTTCCGTACATGTGTTCAGGTCTGGCCTGGGTTGGCATCTGCTTTCTGTTTTACTACGCCACACTCGAAAATCTTGGCAGAGCTTTAGGAGGACCACACGGCAAATGCAGTTCGTGAGCTATCTAATGAAATGTCGCGAAGAGTGAACTTAAATTGATGTAGCGCACCAAACGCCCACTCCACATCCACCAAGGTTATACTGCGTTAAATATACGACCGAGTCGCAAAACAAAACGCGGTTTGGTTTATAAAATAATATTTATTGACCAAAAATAATTTATTTTATGAAAAACCACCAAATAGAAAAACGATTCTATGACCGGTCAATTATACACGGCCTAATATAACTGTCAGCTGAGAAGGTAGATGTCATAAAACGACAAACTGATGAGACACAGTCACAAATACAACGTATTAGTACTTTGTTTATTGTCCTTTGACTTTTCAAGTTGCTGTAGGGCGAGAGGACATGGACAAGACCAAGTTGTCTTAGGTGGTTTAATCTATATAATTATTAAGCAAAAATTTTGCCTTTTTCTCTATCGAAAGATGTTTTCTTGCGTTGTCCAAATTTCCTTTGCATAATGCAAGCAGATTTTCGATGGGATTTGGGTCCAGGCTGTTGGCGGAAGTAGAAAATGCTTGGAAGACCGCAGTCGGAGAGGCTGGTTGTGGTCTAAAACATAAGATTATAGTCGTTAGATGAATTGGAATCATATCTCCACTGAACGACGGACGGAAGGACGTATTATCCTGCAACATTACGGTGTTAATTCGACGTCGACGAATGTCGATGTAACCGAGGACATCCATTTTTGGATTCCAGTCTATTCCAAAAATAAACTAACCACGCCAAATATATGCCGTCTCACCAATTCAAATAACGACCTCGATATTTCATGAGTTACATCGTGTACTGTAAATGGGAATGTCCCCATTTGTCAAACCTGCTTTCCCTTGACCCAGGATGCCGACATTTTGCACAAAAGGATGGCGTGCACACAGTTCTAGCAGTGTTCAGTCCATCCATATTAGTGCCCTCTTATAGTTTCATACACCGGTCTGCAAACGTTTAGTGGTCCCTCCAATTTAAACGAAATGACGAAAGGTGCGCTAAACCCGGTAGATAACGTTTGTCCTTTCTTCTGATGGTGAGGACCTAAGGTCTCATGATCAGACCCGGAGTGGCTTTATCCAACCTGAGGACGGTGTCAGTCCCCAATAATTGTAGAGGGCGCGTCATTTCCTCAGAAAGGTCCTCATTGCTTGGAATTAAGCAGTAATTTTTTAAATATTTAGTGACGGACTTCGTATTAATATTGACGGACTATCACGTTCACTAAAGTCGCGGCGACGCCTGTTGGCCATGAAAAAGCATCGGAGGCAGCAGGGTTTTGACCTTTTGTCCTTCGACATGTTGCCTTGTTTTTTCGCTCCTTTGTAGAGAGTGCACACACATCTGAACATTTTACCTGACAGGGGCTTCTTGATGTAGTTTGTTTTTGGCATGAATTCAACGAGTGTTAGTTGCCTTTTTATAAT